CCAATATCACCATCATAATCTACAGGGCACTATGGTGGAACATGCCATAAGCAAGAGTTATAATATAATATAAAGAAGATACTTAATAATAAACCCAGTTCAAGTTGTCAGGCTGCTTTTAAAACAACAAAGTTATGACAATGTCCCTGAGAGACACATGTGATGTTTCTTTTCCATTTGCTAAGCTTCACTGTCGAGGTCTGGCTATAACTTAATTAAACTTGCAATGGGAAAAGAGGCTAGTGGGGCTTCTGCTGGGGATTGCTCTCGCAGGCAAAGCTCAAGTGCATAAGCTTCTATAAAAAGACACCTTTTAAACGATTACATTAGCGCTCCCCGGGAAGAAAGAGGGCCTCCCATCCTGCAGCTCTCTGCAGTTGTCTCCGTAACCCCTGCAGTTCCGCGATTGTGTATGTGGAAAAGATATAACACGTGGTACATAACCCTATACTGTACATGTGTGTACAAGTGTGTGGGTGCGCGGAGTTGTGACCCTTCCTCTGTGTGCGTGTGTGCAAGAGAGGGTGAGAAAGTAAAGAGTGTTTGTCATAAGTAATCCTCTGTACGTGTTGCACATCCCCGCCTCATGCATATTCATGAGCACAGAGCATTAATGCATCTAATGCCACGATTTCTGTGTCTGTGTGCGGATAAGCCCAGCTCGACGAAGCGATTAATTTGGATATCTCTGTGTACAAAATAAAGCCCTGTGAAAGTGTGTGTGTGCGTCTGTGAGTGAAATATATGTTTGGCGTCTGTGACATCAAACCGTGTTGTGCAAAAGTGTTTTGTGTGTGTGTGTGTGTGTTTGCGTGGGCACATAAGAGAGCAGCTGCGTGGGCTTGTGCAGGGCTTTGGCCACCTGGCGCTTTGAGGTGGATACTGGGCTGCTCGCGAAGTGGAAAGTGGAAATAATGTCTAAACACACACTCAGACTGTACTGTATGCATACTCACATGAGCCATGGCCGTGTCACAGAAAAGTGACACTGGGCCTTTTCCAATTCCTCTTATCCCCCTCCTCTATTATTGTGTAAACTGAATAGGTCCTCAGTTTCCATCGGTTTGGTTTCCAACACAAGTGCGACATCGCTCAAATGTTTTGTATATAAAATGAAGCATCTCTTTTATTCTTCATAAGGACGTTCTTTAGCCTTCTGTATCTGCTCGACATCATCTCATCTTTGTCTGGATTTGCCATGTAAAGGATGGATTTTGCAAACAGTAGTATTTCCGTTTAGCTCACTATGCAGACGATGAAAATTGTTATATGTCAAATGTTTCACTGCTTTTGAGAGTATACCTACACTGACACCTGTATGAGCTGTTCAGGCTCACAGTGTAAATTATATGTGTTTAAAGGCATACTACACTAAAATAATTTTACAAACAAATCTGCACACAAAACTTTCAATTTCTTGTTTAAAGTTGGCCTCAAACTGATTCGAATACAAGGGGGCCAAACAAAAAAACTAAGTTTATAGTTTCGAATGGGGTCTACCAGCAGTTTTGCAGGACTTTCTGCAAAGAACGGGGTCTACTGCGCAGTTCTGCAGGGGTTTTCAACAACATGTCATCTTACCTGTCCTCCTTGAGTGAAGCCACGAAATGCTTTGTTTGAATCTACTTTGGAAATCCTGTCTTTGCATTAAGTACAATAAAATGTAGTTGGGCAAACAATGTATTAATGGACGTCAGTAAGCAGCGATACCAGTGACTAGCATCCCATTACGGTCATCATCAATTCAGACATCTCCTGTAGCTACATAGAAACTTCTCGCCAGTGTCCGGAGGTGTGTGTCCATGATGTGAAGTGAAGCGTTTTCGGATTTAACACAGTTCTTGTGCAAGATAATAACTTTGGTTGACAGTAGGGTTTTATTCGTCACTGCCTCAGTCAATGTGTCTCTGTCCGCTGCCCAAAACGTTTTTTCACCTGTCAACAAAAGCCATAAAAAGACAAAAAAAGAAAATGTGCTGTATAATTATTTCCTACATCCCTGCTCCGTCTGTGGCATTTACTCTCAGACACATTAGGTCCTACCGTAGAAGTCAACATTTAAAAATGAGTCACAAATACCAAAGCTATATATTCAATATCTTAATGAAGTATAACTTTTTTAACATCACATGTAAAGTTCTTGAGGAGACTCAAGCAGACAAGGAAAGTGTGATGAACAACTGCTTTGTAAACCTCACGTATATAATAAATAAAGCTCTTCCTAAAATAGTTGGGTATTGTGGTATTTCAGCTTACATTAGTCAAACAGGAGGTTTGTTGCTGTTTTTTTGTTTAGGACTATTTTCTGCAGCACATTAATACACTTCTGGTGCTTTAATGAGTATTTTCAGCAGCAGAGTTTGTGGGACTGACACCAAATAAACTACACTGTGTGTGCGAGGGTAATGAAGGAATATATCACTGAGTTCAACAGTGTGGCTCACTCTTTAAAGTGATAAGGGCTCTCTGTGGAACTTGTTAAACCAATAAGAAAAATACAGAGGCCTTGTCCTTTAGGGCGTTTTTTAAATTATTCACAGAAAAGGAACATTTGTTAGGCAGTCTTAAAAAGCATTTATTGGATTTTAAAATGTGATGTGTTGTGTGTATCTGGGTCTGAATGAACAGATGAAGAAACACCCGGTGTGCAAGTGCCATTATGCTTTTATTATCTCTAATGGACGACCCTGTAAGTGCAAAACATGTCCGTTTTTAATCAATAACACACCCAAAATAACTAGATGAACATCCATTGCAAAACGTGAATGAAGGCTTCTTTCACTCTCACTCTCTACACTGTAAAATGAAAGATTATGTTTCCGCCTAGCAGAATTTGACACTTTAAGAGTGATTATGATCTATAAAAATCATGCATTTATGGCCCAAAACTCTAGTTACCCATAGCACAATATGTAATAATTAACTGTGCTGCATTTTATTCCAATTAAGTGACCCAGAGCAAATGTAGAGAGGTTTTAGTAGTGACTACCAATGAACTGAGAGAAGAAGAACAAAAGATACACAGAGACAATGGATTACCATCTTTACCAGAGTTAAAACAAAACTTATTGTAAAGACGGAACTCCTGTATGTCGCTCTTTGATGTGAACTTTGGTGAGTTTATTGAGTTTAGCTTCAGTGAGTTTTGGTAGTAGAAGGCTAAGAAAGATGCCGTTGGAATCTGTGGAGTCAAAAGCTTGTGTTGTAGGCATGAAGTAGCATGATTGTCAGTTCTGGCTTTGTGGACGTATAGTTTGTGTGTTTTGTCGACAAGCTGATTTAGTTGCCTGGTGTTTGAATTTAATAGGTTAATAAAACGCAAGATATGCGCATAAACTAGTTAATTTTCGAAATCGGAAACTATGAACATGAGCTAGTTTAACCTAAAAATACCAAAGTTCCAACAATTCAATTCTACGCCTCTCTTTAGCTCAGAGGACGAACACGATGCAGTCTCTCCTCTTTCCCCTCCTCACATATTCCCACTGTTCTTCAGAGTCACACAGGCTTAACAAACATGACGGCAAATGAGCCCAACAAGTGGATGGACACATGTCAACCCCCTGCTTCATTATGTTATTAATTGGAGTAACTGTCATAACATATGTGGCGCCATGGCATCAAGGCATCAACAGTCAGCCACTAGTCTCGTCATCAAGTGAAGCTTGAGCAATGTACTGTGTGTCATGTAAAGATGATGTAGAGAAAGTATCATTGAATCATGTGAAAGGTTCACTCATGCTGTTGTCTTACTCACATTATTGTCAATAATCACTATTTGTAGCCATGCACATGAACAGTGGGACTTTTTTTTATCCTTTCGCTGCCATCTGCGGCATGACCACAGTGTTTGTGTAGAGCGTGTAACCGATGTCAAACGGAGAGAGCCTGTGCTCATTAAGTATATATGCAATAACACGGCTGAGGACAGAACCTGATCAATATGCACACCCGAGCCGCTTGTGTGAAATCTTTAATACACAGATGCACAAAGGAATCTGCCTCGCTGATGCAAGGAGCTGCTACTTTAGACGTCACATTAGCTGGCTTGTTTAATATGTTGTGTCGGGTTGCTTTGTTTTGCTCCCCAGGTGTTAGTGAAACCACCAAACCCATTACACACACACACACACCACTAGTTGCTGGAACAGATGTGGTAATACTGGGATTTGTGCTTACTGAGTCACGTCTGGCTGAGCATGTGTGTCATGACTCTGGGCTTTTTCATGCATAAGTTCAAAGTCTGGTCGCCCTGCAGCAGCTGGGACCATCCAGAAAGTACAAAAACACGGCAGTGTGTTGCCTTGGTCGATGTAGGAGGGAAGGTAGATGGAAAACAATGGCTGAGGGGAAATGGAGTGAGACAGAGATCACTCATTCTTCCATACACACACACACAAACACACACGTGCAGACACACGCACACAAAATAAATGAGTCATCAGTGAGTATGTGAAAGGGCTTTAAGAGGCTCTAATTGCATCTGGTGAGGAAAATAATATTGCTTAGACAAGGAAGAGGGGGAGGAGGACGGAACCATAAAATAAAGAGTGGATCCACACAATTTCTACCATTTCATTAGTATTAATTTAATTCCATTAACTTCTATTAAATGGTAGGTGGAGATGAATTACAAATGTTCCGCTGAAATAATTACAAGCAAGAAGAATAAACTCTTTCTGGATATGTTATCTTGTCAAGTGTTTTTGAGAGCTGGCATCTGCAGTACGTGTTGCTCGCTGGTGACATTTGCGTAATTTGAGCGGCGCTTCACCCCCGCCTCATTAAAATCCGCGTCGACAAACCCATTAACACCCATTCTCCAGAGAACTCCACTTACGCAATGCTCTGGTGCAGCAGCGTTAAGGGTGGTATCTTTGCCAAGCATCTTCGCTCGCCCAGCCTCTATCCTAGCGCCACATACCAAGCCTAATACCGTGGTATGATCGACACGGTGAGGGGGGGGGCTCAGGGAGAGAGTGTGGTGCTCGGCGAGGCCATCTGGGTATCCCATCTGCAACACGGCTACGGCTGCGACTCTTTCGCTCTGGCAGCCTGCAGCGAGCGTTTACCGCCCCGATGACAGGGGCGAGAACCTCCCCAGACGTCTTCAATGACGCAGAGGGCTTCTAATAATAGGATGGTGCTGAAGATGATTAGGTCAGTATCCTGGTTATCAATAAAAGAGGGAGTGTGGTGATCAAAAACAGGACTTTGTTTGTTTGGACAACAAGGATTCAATTGGCTTTCGGAAACGTATACGCAATATGATGCTTGATGTAGAAGACGAGTGTAAGGGATGAAACAATGCTACTACATTTTACATGCTGTTTTGTTGATTTCTCATCATTGAGAATCCAACAAAATAGCATTATTAAACTTTTAAGACCTTGTATGTGCAGGTTTAACAAACCACATGTAAAGTGAGATTCTGTAAACTATCCTGAACAGCAGCCACTGGGGCACAGATGGAGATTACATTCCAAACTCAGATTCTCTTAACTCAGTCGCTTCAAAATCGGCATGAAGCAATATTTTATCACAAAAGTTCATCTGTGGTATCAGCAGTAAAGAAGAGTAATAAAGTTTCATACATCAAGTAAAAATTCGCTCAGTTAAGTCAGTTATACAGCAACACACATAAGTGGTTATCAGACATGAACTCTGGAAGATGTCTGTCGACTTCTTCGTCTGTGTCTTCTACTGTATTTTTTCTTTTTGCATCTGTCGCTTGTTGGCAATGTCATCAACACGCCCACTCGCTTGCGATGAATCCTCCGCAAGAGCTCCTGCTGCTGGTAAGTTTCCCAACACTGGCTAATGTTAGCCACCAATAGCTACAGGTCACACCAGAGTGAGGCTGTAGCAGCACTGAATTCAACAAGAATGGTTTTCTTTTACAGCACTAAATTCACGACGATAAACTCAGTGGTGTGGTGCAGTGCAGTGGTGAGACAGCCAGTGAGTGAGCTTGGACAGAGTATTGCCACTGGTCAAAGAGGAGCAGGCTCAACAGTGTCGTGCATGAGGATTAGGAGAGATGCAGTGTATCTGGTAATAGTTTTGGCAAATATATGAGGATCTGGAATATTCTGTGCACACAGATGGCCAGAGAAATGGATTAGATTGCAGAAGTGGTTTGGGAAGTTTCAACGGCATATTTGATCATCTTTTGGACACTTTTTCTTACTGCGTCACCATCGGGCTCCATATCACCACAATTACCACATTGGCTGTTCTCACTTGTAGAACAAACTTTGGACCTTTTCAAGCCCAAGTAGAATGTAGACAAAGATGTTCCCTCACTACCAAAACTAAATCATGATTTTTATCTGCCACCCCAGTCAAATACTTTTTCAAATAGTCTTTCTATTCTCAATAACACCCACTAATAACATCAGGCTTTTTTCTGTGAATCAGGTTTTGGTATCATTTGAGCTTTTTAAAATACTGGTGCTAAATCAATGCTTTTAAAACGGTTCCAGCGCCTGAACAGTGCCAGAACCTATACGAGCAGAGTTTTTTTATCCCTAAGGCAAATTGGAAGTTTAAAGTATACTTAACTTACATACACAAATATAAATATTAAAAATGTAAAAGATAATCCGCCCAAAATTACGAAGTTTAACTATATGCTGTATATATATATTTGTTCTATGGTCAAACAAAGGAGTGATTGAGCCTTTAAAGACATAAAAACATAAACAAAATAAACAGTCACTGGGATGCAAATATTTCTTCCTATTCTGTATTTGATTAGAGTAACTTTATAGCCTCACAAAGACCTGCACATGTTTTTGAAACACCACGACACACAGAACAGAGACACACACCGACCTTTGTTTTCCTGAGCCATGCAAAGTGCAGATAAGGAAGTCTGTGGACTGATCTCCAGCTGGCACACCAGTACTTTTGCATGACTGATGGCTGGGAGAGCGTCCTGTAGCTCCTGACTGCCCAGCAGCATGTTGGCACCGGCCACAATCACAATGACATTCTCACCTGACCATGGACACAGAAACAAGAGACATGAGAAGAAATGACAACAGTCAATGTGAGATTCTATGGGAAATACAAAGTCCACATTTGGTATTAACTTTAGCATTTATGGAATTAACTGTGGTAACCGCAGAGTTACATTTGGGGGTTAGTACTTTGTACGGATTTTCCTGCATCTGTTCAGTGTATATAGTGTCAAAGGATTTTTAATTTAAATGTATTAATATTATATATGTTATTATAATAATAATATAGTGTATAACAGATTATATATATATATATATAACATTTTATGATAATAAACCCAATGTGATTGCAAAGATGACTTTAATACCTGGTTATATAGGCTAATATATTATATTTAGTATATATATATATACTGTATACTATAGTCATCATTAGAATATTACCTTCAAGAGTTAGCTAGACACATTTTATTTAATTGAAAAAAGCGTCTTCACATGTCAGGTACGTCTTACATCATCTGACTGTATTCGCTACTTGACAGAAATTGCTCACTGTGTGAAAGGCTCGGCCTGCAGCAGATTGAACCTGTGGATACTCAGGATGGTTTGGTGCACTGAAGCATTTCGGTTCAAGGATGTGTGTGTGTGCGTGTGCGTGTGTGTGTGTATCTGGTGATTACACTCACTTAAGCAGTGAGTCAATGGTGGAACTGAATACATTGGTGTACAGTGCGTGTGCATGTGTGTGTGTAATAGCCAGAAATAGTGGACTTACAACACCTGCTCTTTTGGTTAAGTGTGCACAACATGCAACCATTTCTATGAAATGTATGATGCAGACCAAAGCATTTACCTGCGTCATTTACGATGATTGAGGCAGCTCCTGTGGCTGCGTCAGATGTCTGACCTACAAAGTCTGAGACAGACAAGAAATATGAAAAGAAAAAAAGAAGTTTGTTGCTTTTCTGTCACTTTGTGAAACACACCTCTAAAAAACAAAAAGTCATAACAAAATCCCTGTTAATTCATTGAGTGCATTTAGAACAGGTCCCTGTTTTTTGGCTATAATGAGAGAGGCCACAAACATCGTGGAATATGTGATGCAACTGAACTTTTGAAAACTTTAATTTAAACTAATTCAAATGGTTTAAATCAGCGACAATAACTATATACAGACTTTCCAGTGTATCAAAAAGCCCAGAGTAGCTGAGTAAGAATCAACGAAATGCAGACTAAAAAAACCTTGCGTCGTGCAACATGAAAATGGGAACCAATTTAGCATGAGAGGCAAAGAGGAAATCCATCTTACCTGTGTGTACGCCATTGTCCTTGAAATTCTGGATGTAATTGTCTCCAAAGAAGTCTTTACCAACCTAGAAAACATTGAAGGCAAAACGATTAGAACAAAGAGAGTATCAAGCGGGGTCAGACTTGGTTAGCGGCAACTTTTGAAAAGTGGTATACTCAAATCTCAGTTGGGTTGGATTTTCCTGTGCCCTGCCAGAATACTGGCATGGTGCCGCCGCCGAAAATGTGCAAAGACGAACACACAAAGTCGACAAACGCACACACGCGTAAACACACGACCAGCTGCGCCAAGCCTTGAAGACAAGATAACCCCGCCTTCACGCCTCCTCATGCCCACCTCGCTATCGTTTTCTTTCCCTCCTTCCACACATCCCCTGATCCGCACTGGGATGTCCACATCTGTAGCTACTTTGGGTTGTGGAAGGGGTCCCCACCTTGCCCCGAGGCGCCTACTTCGAACCCACGCTTTTTAAAAAACGTGCCAAAATGCGGGCACTTCTAGCTGCCTGTGATAACTGGTTGGACTGGTATTGGCTGCTTGGCCCCATTCTCTTTGAAGAGCGGCAATCTGTCTTGGATGTTTTTGACAAGCCCGGGTTGTCTATTTTTGGGTTCTCCCCATGCCCGGAGAGCTCCTTGTGCACTGGGTTGTTATCGATCGGGCCTCTTTGTTCTGACAGAGGTGGGGCTTTGGTGCGTTAGTGCTCAGGTTGAAAGGCCACACTAAGCTTAGTGATTGGAGACACTGGGTTGTATGGTATGGGAATAGCCTTGTTTGAAGGCGCGCAAGTGTGGGTGGGCGTATGCATGCGGTATGGTATTGATCAAGAGAAAATGAGGCACAAAGAGTTGATGTGGTAAAATGAAAAGTGTGAATGAAGCTAGAAGGTTTTGAGGAGTTGTTAACTAGTTGGTGGACTGTTGTAGCTGATAGTTGATTATTCTTACTGAGTAAGACGCGGATTAGCCAAAGGTTAGACGGGCAAAAAAATCTTTTTTTTCTAAGGACACACATATTTGAGCTGGCATGCAAATGAACAAACACTCCAACACAAACTGATACAGCAAATCAGCAGCGTAATGTTGCAGCTGTGGTACCTTGCAGACCATGGTGGTTTTGGCCCCCAGTCTCGCAGCCTGTATGCACTGGTTGGCACCCTTTCCTCCAAAGCCGATGAAGAATTTGTGACCATGGATGGTTTCTCCCGGTTTGGGTAGCCTTGGTGCTTGGCTGAGGAAAAATAAACAAAAACATTTGCACAATTTTAAGGCATACACACTGACAAAAAGAACCTCATGGGATTTAAGGAACAAAAAAATTAAGTGTCCTCTTTGTAAAGGAATTCTTTGCCGTGCTTTTGTATTAGAATTTGCTTTTATTCACCTCAACAGTTCTTCACACTGCAGATAAAAGTTTGAACATCTTCCATCAAACTTTGACAAATGTTTCTGCTTTTTTTGGCATTGTGAGTGTTCTGCATTGAAAGCAAGGAGTAAAGGGAGATGTCAAAATGTGAAGACAACCCTTCAGGGCCGAATCCTTCCCCGGTTAAGCTATTTATTTATCACTGGAAAAATGTGCTTAAACACACACAAACAAGAGTCTTGTGTGGAGTCTGCAGAGGATTATATCTTTTGGTCATGTGTAGGTCTTTCACTGAGAGGTCAACAAAGCAAACCTTTCCGCATTGGGCATAGGGAACTTTTCTCCTTGAGTGTTTTTCCCCTGCCATTTCTAACACTTAAATATAACATCCGCTTTCAAAACACAAACAGATAACGCAAAAAACAACTGAAAATATTTCCTCACCACTATAAAAAGTAGGGTAGATGTTTTATCCAAACATTCAGGTAGATATACCAATAAAAGTGTCTCCAAATTCACAAATGACGCAACCACCTAAGCCAACAGATGTCTCAACTTGACATTGCCCACACCAGTCACGCCTGAGTCATCGGGGTTAGGTTAAGTCCTGCCCCTCCCCTCAAGGTTGACATGCCACAGGTGGGTACCCTAAGGAGGACCTGTCTGTTCCCTAATTCCTCCAATCACAGAGCCAGGTTGATGGTGATTAACATGGGGTTGTGTGAAGTGGGGGAGGCTCGAGACAGCTTCATACCATACGTCAAGACACTGTGGTTTGGCCCCAGACCAGCACTGCACAAGGCCAACGGGTTGCGGATGGCAAAATGTTGTCATAAACTTGTTTTTCACCCTGCTGTTGCTCTTTTTATGCCTGTGTGTGTGTGTGTGTGTGTGTGTGTGTGTGTGTGTGTGTGTGAGAGAAACAGTGTGTTTGTGGCAGGTGTGCTATTACAGTAAGTTCACTCAATCCCAGGATTTCCAGTAACTGAGACGCTGGTGGCAAACACTGGCGGTGGTTATAAATGCGTCTGTTTTTACACCGGCGTGTGAAAAAAACACTAAAATGCCCGAAGCTATAACAGGATGTAGGGTCAGCGAGGCTAAAATGTGGTAAGAAGGAAACGGAACAAAGGTTGTACACATGTAAATACGCACACACACATTCACACACACATTACCTATTCTGCTCCTTGATGCAGCTGTCTAACAAACTCTTTCCTCTCTGTGTCACCCCTGTGACTCTTGGTGGAAAAGATGTGCTTGCACGCACAATCCTGCACAGGAAGGTATGATACTGGTGTGCAAAGAATGGTGGTGATAACGTACTGATGAAATAATGAGAACGTTAACAATAATAAGGTTTGTCAATATTATTATTATTATTAACATTTTCATAATTTCATCAGTATGTCATATTTTAAGTGTGAATTGGACTTCCACTGCACCTTGTGTATTTGCTATTCCTTTTTGGAGTATTTTTACCTTGTGTTTTATTGTATTTTGATATAACTGGCTGATATGACAATCTAATTTCCCTCCAGGGATCAATAAAGTAATCTATATATCTATTATTTATTGTTATGTATTTTTTGGAGGCTGATTGTTTCTTGTCAGGAGGAAAATTATCATTTAGATGATAGACTACCAGTAAAAGTTTGTCTAAAAAACAGTACAAACAACAAAGTTGACACTCAAAACAGAAAAATACCACAAAAATACAGCAAAGACAAAAAAGATCCACTGACAAAGACCGATGACTGTCCAGGACGTAACAAAAATAATTCTACACCAAAAGCTCTCTCGACATCTTTGTTGGTGTCTTCTACGTGTGTGTCACTGCTTTTTAATTTGCAGATATTTGTTTTCGTTTTGTTTTGTTATTTTGGATCTGTCTCAAGGAACTTCAGCAGTTGTTTAACATGAGGTTGTCAGATTTGGGATGATAAAAACTGTAAATCCAGACAAAACACAGACACACAAAATGTGTGTACCTTCTGTTTTCATATGCATCAACCAAAAAATATAAAACATGCTAATTAGTTCATTCGAAGTGTTGATTTGTTAATTTTGGACAAATGGCTAGCTGTTTACTCCTCTCAGTCTTGGTGCCAGGCTAAGCTAAGCTAACTATCAATCATCATCTAAATGTCATAAGAAAAGCAAGTTTAAAGGCCTGAATAATGTTTTCATTGTTGCTTTGTCTCCCTGAAATACTTGATGGTCAATCTTACCTAACAAAGTACAGAAAAAATTAGATTAACAAGATTTGTCCTCTCCGAACAGACAACACATTTTAACTTTTGGTAAAATATATATATATTTTTTTAGCTTAATTTTTCAATTTTTCAATGTTTCATCTACTTTTGGATGCTGTGCATCAGCAAGTAAAATTACATTTTCAGGAGCCACCCCAGTAACAGAGAGATGGGTTCTTCAAACAAGCATTTTTCTTGTTAGAGCTGAAATATACCAGAGTGGCTGGAAGGAGTACTAACACGTGTTGGTAAGTAAGTTTATTTGGTTTCCTGCTGAGAGTCTGAACATCCAAGATAGTATTCTGTAAAAGAGTCACTACAAATCTCACCAACAGCCTATAGTGCAAGACACTTCTTTATTTGTAAAATGACCAGGAAACTGATCTGCTGCTTTTCCACGATTGGCCTTGACATTTGAATGTTCATGATGACAACTATTAAGATATTCATAGCACAACCTTTGTCCAACTGACAGCACAAGGTTTTTACCTAATGACTCCACTTTTTGGCTGACAGCCACCTGAAGCCGGATAACTGGCAGGTAAGATAAACACATTTCCAAATTCTTAAATAAACCCACCCACGTTTCTTCATTCCCAGAGAGACACTTGACTATTGTTGTCTGTGGTGAGTGCACCAAACAAACAGGGCAGTTATGTGCTAAAGTTGCATTTTCTCTCACGGAACCAAAAGACCCAACGCAGGTGTTCAGTGACGTGAAGTGTTTGCTTTAAGGCTGCCGCTCTCTTGTTTCCCTCTCGGTCTCTATTAAAGCCATTCCTCAGCTGCTGGTGAGCAGCAAGGGGAAGTATAGGAGGACAAAAGCAAATTGAAACACTGTTTTCCTTTAAGTTCCAAGTGCTAGTCTTTCCTGTTTCAAACACAACCTCCAAAGTCAACTTACCACTTGCATAATAAGACACAAAGACTGAGCTCGAGTTAAACAAGAACACACACACACAAAAAGAGTTTAATTGTGATAGCCAACAGCAAATGTTATTACTCGGACAAGTACTTTTTTCCAAGTCCATGAAGTCCATTTGTTTTCATCTAGTATAATTTTCCTCATCCATGAAGGTCTCTGCAGTGGAGGCTCCAGTAAAACAGGACAAGGTGAGGGGACTTAACAAAGGGCAGGTCGACAGCACACTGTATTTACATGGACACTGTCAGCTCCTTTGCGAACAAGAGGTGCAGTGTCAGAGTAGCACGTGGGCGTTTAATTTTTTGTTGGTCAGAGCATTTGTTGGTCTGCCATTATTCCCTCGGTGGTCAGGAACAGCATATATCTCAGGGGATATAATCAGCCAGTTATTAACATATCAAACATCATAGCTTTGTTTAACTTTTTTTAGTTTACAGATGTTTCTCTCTCATTAAAACAACTTAAGAAGGGAAAATCATGTGGTATGGTCACTAGTGTGTTGTGACCAAGGCGTTGGCATCCCTTTCATTTTAAATGGTTCCAGACTGGGTACACTAAAACATGGGAGCATTTAGGATTGAAACACTGCAGCGACAGTAATTATGACTACACATGCAACTAACCAACATTTTCAGTATTTGACAATTTACTGATTATTTTCTAAATGCACTGATTCATCATTTGGTCCATATATTGTCTGGGGAACCAACCTTTATTTTTTAATATAATTTAGGATTTTTGATGATTGAAGAGAATCAATGACTAAATTGGTAACTGGCATTATGTACTGAGGGCTCCTTTGAGAAACAATTAAACAAAGAAATATGAGTTCCTGAACTTTCATAATTTGTGACTTGTTGTTTCAACGAGCAGGTGAAAAGTGTCTCCACTCAGAAGGCTGTGGCAGTAGGGGGCACTGTATGGCTTTGAGAAGAAAGAGTTGAAAGCTTGGGAAGCTGTGCTCCTCCTCAGATAGTTTAACACAACCCACCGAACAACATGCTGTAAAAATAACAGCACAGTTTGCTGGACAGCCTGCCCGATACAATTATAAGAAAACAGTATAGAGATCTGTGTTAGACTTGAGAGTTTATGCAGTAACACTGGAGCAGAGAGAGAGAGAGTGTGTGTGTGTGTGTGTGTGTGTGTGTGTGTGTGTGTGTGTGTGTGTGTGTGTGTGTGCATGCATGTGTGTACTCATTCCTGTCAGTAGAACTGTACCACCATCCAAACACTGGCTTTTCAAGACAACTGGATTTCTAACTTCAAAGCCATGCATGTCACTTTGAAGGGCTGCAAATGGATTCCAACTACCCTCCCCTATCCACATTCTGACCTCCATCCAAAAAGCCCCAACCCAACACACACACACAAACACTTGCCAAAAACAGGCCATTTCCCGTTAGCTTGTTAAGGTCTTAATTGACAACTCCTGCCCTTCAAAGCAGAGACTCATTGGTTGAATTGCTAATGAGCAACAAAATAAATGCGCCCCCCCCCCACCCCCAAAAAAAGAAGGCATATGTTTTTGATCAGTGAAGACTTGTGCAACTGTTTGCACAAACTAAAATGCGACGAGTTGAACAAGAGTGTGTGCTCCTACAAAAATGCCATTAAACATTTCAACCTGCAGCACAGATTGAGTTTATTCAGATCTCAATTTGCTGACGCCCAGGTGACAATTATTTTCTGTATGACAAACTATCCCACAAGCTAAACAAACACATTTCTTCACGCTGACAGATGACATTTAGTTGGCTGGAGCCCACGAATATTTTTGACACTGTATTTACTTTGTGTGTCTTTTGAGATTGTGTCATTCAGGGTTATGGTAAACGACAGTGACATATTGTTTTCAGCTGACCCATTGTGCTGGTATTGATGACTAACAACTTGTGGGAATGGATCCTACTTGGCTCAAGAAATCTTACCATGTATAAAGATGATGCAACACTGACACTACAGTAAGCAGTTATTACACCACATCATCACCGCACTTCTTAGGAATCTGTATTATGGTATGATGATCACACTTAAATTTCTGTCAATGATGACATTAATGATTTGATTTACAAACAGCAACTAATTTCATTAACAGCAGCTTAGGTATCCTGGAAAACTATTTGTGCATCTGAAGGTTAAGTGTTTTCAAATTTAATGGATTTCTAAAACAGATTCATTTTTAGGACTAATGGCCAAACATATTTTGGACCATTACACTACAAATGTTCACCACAGCATTTTGGGCTTTTCGTCTTGAATTACTGAAATGCAGCAGCATCATCTAACTACAGACCACTTCCTCTATATTCTTGTGCAGACAGGAATTGTTGACCTTTTCAAACCATGATGGAAAACACCCAACAGCCCTTATGGCATATTTTCCATAAGCCTAAATAAAACCCCTGAAGGAAAAAAGTGGTTGAGGTGGTTAAAAATAATAAAGGGAAATAAAGACAAAGACATAGACAATTGACAGCTACGCCCAACCTCTCTTACTGTTGCTATGCTTGTTGTACTCTCTATCCTCGTGCAGGACCCAATACAGTTTGCAATGAAAAAGGTTTTGAAAGTCACTGTAACTTTTGAAACATACAAGACAAAAGGCTTTTAGGATGAGGCTAACCATAGACTGAGTATAAAAATGGACAATGCATCTCCACTTCCTCCTACTATGTAGGAATGAAGCCAAAATGTCCTGGATATGAATACTGCCATCTTGTGAATTTGGAGCCAAAAGCTGTGCAGCAGGGTAAGAGCCACAGTAGTGAAGTCAACTTCATCCAATCGACCAATCATGAGTCAGTCTTAACTTTTAATCATAGTGCTTTTACCCCCTTTTCATAAGAAAATAACTAATTAAAACCAATGACTTGACTTGAACATACGTCAGTGTGATAAGAACGGCCTCAAATGACAGAAACCTGACTTTTTAATTTCATGTCCCTCCGATAACGTGGATTTATGTCTATGTCGTCCATTTTATATACAGTCTGTGTGAGCGCCCCTGAAGTAAAACTGTATCAATTAAAACAAGATTTCTGATTTTCTTTTGTTAGTGGCCCTTTAAAATGTAGCAATGTCCAGCTGTGACCTTTCATAAAACCCTTTGACCATGTGTGGACATTTTTAAAAAGTTTAACTTGGAATTTGGAGGTTTCAATTGAAGTTATGTTATAGGCATAAACTCGAGCAAATTATTTTACTTCACAAATATTTCCTTTTCTTTTCTTCTCCCTTAAATAATCTCTTGATCCTTCATATTTATCTCTGGACCATTTAGCAGTGAAAACCACTGGATTGAAGAAACGATCATTGGTCCTGAAAAACTGAAATATTAAAAATAATTTATAGAGATGATTATATACACAGATTAATACACATTTAAAAACAATTCAACGTATTTACTATCAAAAACAAGTCCATGTTAGAAACATCTTCCAACCTATGACCTAACCTCACTCAAATGTTGAGAAACTGTGTTTTACATTTTGAAGCACATGTCCTAATATGGCAATGACGATTTGCCCAATGTGCCGCATCCTGTTGGGCCCACCTGAGGAAGCAGAGGAGTTTCCTGAACCAGATTTAGCTTGAGATTCTCTGCTCTACCTTCTCAGATAATATAAGGTTGATCTAAGGTTATTTCACAGAGCACAGTACTGACACAGCTTGATACACTTGCTAGTAGCGTTTCAGGAGACAAGGTTAAATAAGGGCTAAATTTACTCACCTCACTAAGTCAGTCATGCAGGAGCCAACCACCATCACATCAAAAGCCTCGTCGGTCATGATCTGATTAAGACACACATTTGTGTTATTTCTATGGTTACAGCACTCATTCTTGAATTTCTCAACATTCATCCAGCCTTTCCTGTGGAAACCTTTTCATAAACGAGGACACAATTTAAAGCACGACGGACCCCTCAGGGGTATTTCAGGCAAAATATGGAAACTAGTTTCCCTACAGCCGCCAAACAAAAATCACTTGATATTATTTATCTCCCACATTAGCATGAGCTCAAGTGAAACAAGGAAGGAAGGTAAAAATAGAGCATTCATCGCTGGCTAAGTTGGACAGGTTCCAATCTTATTGGGGGTGGAAGAAGGGTGGAGGCATTTCAATGCTGCACCACGTGAACACACTGCAGCCCAGCAAAGTCTTTAATTAATTCAATCCTCAGCCTGTATCGGAGCTAATGCTAGTGTGTTAATCTCCTCAAATCTCTTCCTAGGCAGTGGAAGACTTGGAAAGCCTGGCCGCTGGCTGTAGGATGGCTCAATTCTCTCTCCTACATCTCGCAGCATATTGTCTTCCCAAAAAGGAAAACCAGCCTAGAACCCTCCACATCTTGACTGAAGGAGAACATTATGAGATTTGCATTGTCCAATCACTCGAAACAGCAGGGAGCCCTCTTAAGATTCTCCCTCGCTGGTTGAATTTTGAAGCTGAATTATCACACAGCGGCTGACCAACCCGGAAAAGTGTTTGCACATACAGCTTAATGTAAAATGTGTTTAACCATTACACATTAGCTTCAGCTTAACCAGAGGTTTCACTCAGCCTCAAGCAAGAAACACTTCACTGTATGAGCCAAATGAATGAGTGAAGCGATGATTTAAAACTTGTCACCCACATTTGTGTGACTAATTGAACAGAGTCATAGGCATACCTTGGCACATTTTAATCTAAATGCAGTTAAAAGTTGCACACAGTGGATGCAGCGGAGTTTCAGCAAAATTCTAAAGAAATTCAGGGATATGGTTGTTGGACTCATTTAAAAAAACTTCTAAGATTACATGTTCTCCCTAAATCTGACTACACAGTCCAGTCTTAACAGGATAATGATTGTTATTACAATGATATGACCATAAATATTGAAAAATGCTTTTCAGAAGTTCAGATAATGACTATAATCACAGACTACCTCTTTTACAGTCATTCTACCCCATCCCCTGACACACGCACACGCACACACACACACACACACACACACATTGTAAAAGGTGTCAGTGTCATATTTTTCTTACCATTTAAAAATACAAGAAAACTACACTATATCTGAATGTCCAATAGATCAGTCCCTCATGTCATTGATTGAACGGAATCAGTGATGATTGGATGATAACTGATTGCCTTGGCTGTCTCTCCTCTGTTACTTTAGGAGGTTTTTCTGAATCACTCCCAAGATGGGGAAATTCCCAGTTATGAATCAGACCAGCTGCTCTCTTTGGAAACACCACAAGTCTTACTGTCGGTACTCAGACATTTGTTTGTGGCTTTGTCAACATTCTTTATTTTACTTTATTATAGACAGCAATTCTGTTTATGAAGAACTAATACATTTCAGGTAAAAATTCACATTACACCTTGAACATTTTTCAGTATGTTTGGTCATTTTTTTAAAAACCGGACACCTGTTCACTCTGTTGGCCAAACATTTTGTCGCATCGTAGTTGTACCAAAAAAATTCAGGCATTATACAATTTCTTTTGGCTAAGTCAATAATTGTTTCTTTACAAGAAAGAAAGCAATATCTGTATATGGGGAAATAACATAATTATAAACTCACTTACATAACTACAGAAGGTAAGCTAATACCTTATCACTTAAAGTGGGTACTTTATTACTTTTTCTAAGTATTATAAATCTAAATACATAACCTTATGCTGTTACATTGTTGATGCATATACTATGCATATGCGTATACTTTCTTACTCTTTTAGTTACTTCCACTTTGAAACTCATTTGTTACATACTGTGTATGACATGTACAGCAGGTTTGTTACACTTCACAAACACTTAGCATTTCATGAAACAGAGGTGGATCAGTTATGTGTTATACCTCCTCACTGTGTTTGCACAATACATGATCAATATTTGTATCCTGGGTTTACCTTTTTAGAATTAATAACTAGCTTTACTCCTGCTTTATAAATGCAAGCAATGTAATGTGCTTTGCATGCAAATCTGTCCAGGTGACGAATCAGACCATACCTACGTGTGTAGACATTGATCAACACGCCTACGTGTGCAGTCACTCCTGCTTTATAGCTCCTCACATATCATGATCATGGAGGAATTGAATGTAACAACTCAATGGTAACTAGTTTCAGCTCAGTCTAAGTCAGATCCATTGAGTGGAGTCAGAGTGTTGTTGAGGAATGCGACACAGTAATTACCTGCAGATGAAACTTTACTCCTGCACAGGAACTGAACACTCACTATTGACAGTGACGTTAGAAAAAAAAGCCAGGTTCGACCTGTGTATCGTTGTGGTCATTGCCAGACCCGTTATCGTCACCAAATCAGCGTATACACATTGAGTATTGATTCAGATCGTTATTGTATGATAATGCCGAACTACAAATCCTTTATAAGTCATATATAACTGAATATTATTTTACTCTGTGAATAAAAACACCCATTGTGCGAGCAGGCATTATTACAGACAGCTAAGCGCGGGGCCATCTACAGGACCCAAACAAGATGTACCGGAAACTTTGAGAGCATGAAGTAAACATTGGAGTAAACGCTCAAATGGTCTGACTTCCTGCTGTTTCAGGTATTCTAACACACTCTCAGTGATGTATTTCAGCTCACAATAATGAACAGGGTTTATTTGGGGAAAGCTAAAAGCTTAAACTGGGGCAATTTGACGCCTCATTCTCTGGTAAGCTAATAGTGGCTAACTAAACGAAGCTTACGAGCATTGACATCCTGATTTAAACTGTGGCGTGCTGATCTATTCACCGTGAAATAACTGCAACAGAGGTGCAGAGCACTGATGTATAGTAGTGCAACATTATGTATTTTCCACACAATGTATTCACTCAGTGTACGGGCCTTTTTATATTAAGGAGTAAACTGTCTGCTCATGAAATGTCTGGGTCCCTAAAAGATTATATAATCCCCACATTTCAGGAACATCAGAGTGAATGGAATTTGTTTAAAACGTAAGAATAAACTTGCGCCAGATATTTAAATTGCAAAACAGGAAAAGGATTCTGACGCGCATACAAAAAACTTCCACAACACCAGGAAATAACAGATATAAGTGACCTACGTGGTGTAGCACACGTCCTCTGACTGTTCAGCACAAACATATGCTTTTGCATTGCAAAATAGTTTTGTGATAAAACACGTAATAGCTTTTCAACTGAAGCTACCACAGGTTCTTTTTCATGTTTGGAATTAGCGGGTGAGGTGAGGGGTGCTCAGCTGCAACATGCAATTTCAACACTAGATATCACAAAATTCTACACACTGTACCTTTAAAGCACAGCTGTATCTCCACAGACTCCACAGAGCGGATACAATGAATAACATGTCCCCTGAGGTCGCACTGCACCGGATCTCACCTGAGCTGCGGCCCTTGCTGTGCAGCGTGGTGAGGAACGGCCGAGTGGGACTGGACTCCACAAACTCTCTCCGTGTCACAGACCTCAAAACTGGGTGAGGTTTAGCTCTGCGCTCAAGGTTCCCCACCTGAAACACAGGACCTACAGCTGAGGGGGTAGTTTTGAAAGTATTTTTTGTGTAACCTCAGTAGTCCTCAATGCATCAGGACTCTACATGATAATACTATGTCTGTATGTCAAGGCCATCGTTCATAGATATCAATTTTGTTTTGGAGAATTCAGTTTTTTTTGGGGCAATTTATCGATAGTAACACTTAGCCACAGTTGCTGAATTCATGTTAGATGTTAGATTGCCCTTTTAATGCTGAAAGAAACATTTTATCTGATAAATTTGTTATTACGATATTATAAAAGCACAATTTCAGTATTATTACAAACACAGGGACTGGATTATATTTCACATCTTACCAAAATGCTCAACAATCAGTTTTCAGAGGTTCATAAGCCGAGTCTTGGAATATTTACATCTAGGTATTCTCATATATCTCATATATGTTGTCTACAACAATTTCACACGTATCAACCCCTGACACATACAGTGGGATAATGGAGATATCTGTAATGACAGCTTTGTTATAGATGTGGCTGTACTGGATGACATGATGACAATCATGTACCAGGGTACAGTATCTCTGGCCAAAATATTGATCATTCAAACAGTTTAAAAGATTTATTGAGCTTGTTTCAGTTTAGATCTGTGCCAAAAAGAAATTACTGTTCATCATCTCTCTAGTAAGTTGTAAACTGGATGTGATCTAAAAAGAAGGCAGTGTAATGAGGCTGTGAAGAACAAAGTTTTAAGTTTGCATCGTTTTTTAAAATAATATTATGTGATTAGATCAGTCTAAATCTGGATGTTTTCATGCGTTAAACATTTATGGTCGACTGTGCTTGCTGACCTGTCTTTGCTGTCTTCATTAATCCTCATGTTCAGATGCACATCTCTGACTCCTGGTCCCTGTTGTGATCGCTTCAAACTTCACATCCCCTATGCTGGAGAAACACTAAAATGTAAGTAAGCCAGTCACTCACTCTCCTTAATTTTTTGCCATTTTCAGAAAATCATATCATCTAATGTTGGTTAAATGAATAATAATGAATATGTTGGTTAAATGAATAATCATCAATAGTCAGTTAAGGCTTTCTGTTGTTTTAGAATAAGACTCTTGGACTGTTTCTATTTAATATAGAATGTAAGCTCTATCTGCATTTCTGTTTAAAGGTTGCCCTCTGCTCAGGTACTAAAATGTCAAACCTGTACTTTGAATAGAAAAGTGCTGCATTCATTTTATTCCAGATAATCAATGTTGTCAGTATAGAAAGACCATCTTGTTTTCACAGTTGGTGAGTTGAAAGAAAAGAGGTGCTTTCGGCTGAAGCCATCAACACCAGATATTTGAAATAATAAAAAAGATTTCTAAACACGTATTCAGGGCTATGCAAAGAAGCAGGATAAAGACTTATTGTCGATAAATAGAACACACAAACATTATGTATCATTTAAATAAAATCATTATTAACTGAACTTCACCATATGAATGCTTTGTTACTGTTTAGCAACTTGGCAAGCAGTACGACAAAAAGCACCCACAGGAACAGCTCAACTACAAAACATGATGAATATTTTTCTGATAAGGGCGCTTTCTTAACCAGTTAAATGATAACAGTAACACCATGTTGATTATGTCACTGAACATTTACTGGAACAATATCTAATTTCTGTATCAAGTGCCCACATCAGACACCTTCCTTTATGAACGTCATTCAGAATAGAATTATTTTAACTAGCTTTTACTGTAATTATAGTGACTCACAAGACCCACATCAGGCCCATGTCTACACAAGATCAGTTTTCATCTCTCCACTCTACCTAGGAATTCTTTGCAAGTTCATTTGTCATCTTTATTGTACTTGACTAATTTTGGGGTCAACGAATCTCTGATGAACTGATTCCCCTCATGAGCATAAAATACTGTTTTGTATAGAGCTCATTAAAAGCACATGATTATAAAGTCATTTGCACGTATTGTTTCATGTATTTTCAGTCATCATCATCTCCCTGTCTGCAACTCATATTCTCAACCACTTCACAAGTGCAGTTAGCGGTGCATGCCAAATCTGTCAGCTTGATAGGTGAATCAGGTTTTAGTGGTGGATGAGTTACTCACAAGTTCTTTGAACAGATGCCTTCTCATTTCATTGGCTTTTCAATGGAATGTTTTCACTGGTTAAATTTGCAGGTTTAAATCATAAATATAAGTATAAATATGTCCACAAGCTTCAGTTGATGGCTTTCAAGCTGCCTGACAACGTTGGTGCAGAGCAAATTCATGTTCATTAAGTTCTGTCTGGTTGTCTCTGACGTTTGGTGCAACGTGGCAGTGTGGCCATGCTTGAGGGGGGGGGTAACCTGAGGTTTTTTAGGGGAAGTAGGATTTGTTCCATTTGCGCAATTTTCTAAATTATCTCTCTGTGCAGTAATGGTTGTGACGGATCAGGATGTTGTGGCTAGATTTGAGTAATGTATATTTGAGATAAGGTGTAAGAACATGCAACACAGTAGTTTACCCATCAACATCTGGGTGATAGCAGCATGATGTTTCAGTCCTTTCTGAAAATGTTGTGATGTTCTTGTAAAACACATGAATAATGATGGGGTGGCCAGATTACGGAAAATTAAACATTTATGTAAAATTTAAGTTTGTTTATCGTATGTCTGTCTGTGTGCTAGTTGCTGCAATGCTTCATATTGAGCTGAATTATACTTGATTATGTCAATTGCTTAACAGACCTCTACAATTCGCCAACATGAAATGTTTAAAAAACTTATTTAAACCACACAAGTGAACATTAATAAAACAAACTGAGTTTCATTTGATGAAAAACATTGACTATAAAATCGTCACAGCAGATAAGCCAGGTAGGATGAACACAAAGTGACATTGTAGAACTATATGAGGAGGACTCACTAATGACAAAGAATAATCCTGAAGTTGCATCACCACAGACTAAGCAAACCGCTTATTCCAAACAGGGAGGCTTAGAACAGGCACTGTACTAGCCATGTAAAATGCAGAAACCTGAAAGCTTCAAAAAAACAACAACACAGGGAAACAGTTCGCTGGTATCCTGGCTTGGTATATAACATGTGTGCAGCTGCTGCACTAGTCGCTAGACTTTCCTGCGCTTTGGCCTGAGGAAGGTTTGTTAATCAAGGGCCTTGGGTTTGCTCTGTGCCAGTTTGCGGACCTGCCCACTTTTGGCGTGCGAAAGCATGAGCATGGCCCCCTGTGCACAGAGCTAAGCACTTAATGCATGCCCAGGCTCCCTCCACTTCACCACCGTGGCTGGTAGTGCTAAACAACAATTTGTGGCCTTTGTTGTTGTACATGTTACGCCCCCATGACCTCAATAAAAAAGTCTGGCTGGAATGGAAGTGAGACTTCGAGAAGGCACGTCATGCAGTGATTAGACTGCACCTCGGAGTGAAGCTTCTTATGCTATGCGAACAAAGAGGTATATAAAAGCTTATGTTATAACCTGTCAAGGTTGCGATTCAAACAGCTCCATTTCTGTCTGGATGAGTGCCAGTACGCCTCTGACAGAGTTCTAGTAGTTTATAACAGATTTACAGCTCATCCTCTCCTCATTTGACTCTTCTGCGCTGGGAAAATACTTCCATATGTGTATGTTTGTCTCTTCATGCTGTGGCTGGAAAGACACAAAAAAAAAAAGAAAAGAAAAAAAAGCAGAACAGAACAGTCTTGCAGCACACAAATAGAATTGTGTAACATAATAGGAGAACATTGTGAACCAGTCCTGGAAATGTGTTATGTGATCATGTTATGATGTCTTGTCCTTCCTCAGTAAGAGCCATTTACTGCCCGTGTTTTTTTTTTAACTGAATGCATTAATTTCTGCACTTATAATTGCAGTATTT